TATATATATATATATATATACACTCCGTTTGGCGTTTAGCGTTAAGGCTATGTTTAGGATGTGTAGGGCGTGATGTTTGGAGTTTAGCGTTTAGGGTTTGGGTATGGAAAGGGGTTGCTACGTGCAGTGGGCAACTCAGCCAGCTGCGAGTTGACTCTGCTGAACTGCGAGTTAACTCTGCTGCAGCACTTCTTCATGTCGAAGTACTCGCTTCGTACCCTGTATTTTTGTCGGAAGCACCTGGAAGTTGTTTCTCCTCGAGGAGCCCTTCCGTTTTCTCGTGTTGTGCCTATTGCGTTTTTAATCGTTTTTATTATGCGCTCTTCGGCCTCCATTTTTCATTTATTGGAGTGCAGCTTGTTTAGACATTTTGCTGTCGCCCCTTTTGCAGGAGTTACGGTTTTTCTCAAGTGAACGACTACTTGAGCAAACGGGAGGAGGACATAGGGGCGGGAGAGGAGGAGGGAGGGTCAGAGTCCGACCCACCAAACAACGGTGACGCAGCAGAAGCATCATCAGAACTAGACGGTGTACCGCAACAACAGCAACCGCAGCAGCAAAAACAGAAGCCGAAGGAACAGCCTAACAAACGTGAGAAGCCAACGGAAGATACGGAGGGACCGCGATCTCCAAAGCGGCGCCGCCACGAAGATGCAGCGGAGACTGAGGCAAGCGGTAGAGCCTCGAAATCCCCGCAGCAGAAGCAACAGCAGAAGGTGAAGATGACGCAAGAACGACTGACAACTGCATCATCTTTATCAGAACCAGCAACAGCTGCAGCGTCACCTGAGAATGTGAAGGGGAAGGGGAAGAAGGCACGACAAGGGCATCCACCGAAGCATGAACAGCAGCAGCAGCACCATCACCAGCAGCAGCCGCTTGGCTTTAAGCCCCTGCCTCTTTCGCGGCTGATCCGCGCTCGTTTAAGGGAGTACCAGGAGGAGGGTGTGGATTGGTTGTTTCGCTTGCACCGTGCGGGGGCGAACTGCATTCTTGCAGATGAGATGGGTTTAGGAAAGACAATTCAGACGATCGCGTTGCTGGCGAAGATGGCTTTGGAAATGGGGATTTGGGGCCCTCACCTGGTGGTGGCCCCCACCAGCGTGCTTGAGAACTGGGATGCGGAATTTAAGAAGTTTCTGCCTGGGTTTAGAGTGCTGCTATACTACGGCTCTGCAGCTGAGCGACAGAAGAAGCGCCAGGGGTGGACGCGAAAACATGCGTTTAATGTCTGCATTGTGAGCTATGCAACTGCGGTCAAAGACGCCGCAATCCTGAAGAGGAGAGAGTGGTACTCGCTGGTGCTCGACGAAGCACAGAACATCAAGAACTTCAGCTCAAAGCGGTGGCAGACCCTCCTGACCTTCAACTCGCAGCACAGACTGTTGCTAACAGGCACACCGCTGCAGAATCACCTGCTGGAGTTGTGGTCTCTTATGCACTTTTTGATGCCAACAGTCTTCTCCTCTCACGAAAACTTCAAAGAATGGTTCGACACTCCCCTCACCGCTGCCATTGAGCAATCGCGAGTGCAGCGACACCAGCGACTGGTTGCACAGTTGCACCAAGTCCTCCGACCTTACATCTTGCGGCGGCTCAAGAAGGATGTGGAGAAACAAATGCCCAGCAAATATGAACATGTCGTAAAGTGTCAGCTGACAAGGCGGCAGCGTTGTCTGTACGACGAGTTTTTGGGGTCTCGCGCTGTTCAGGGCTTGCTGCACGAACAGCATTACAGAGGCATGCTGAACGCCCTGATGCAGCTGAGGAAAGTCTGCAGTCACCCCGACCTATTTGAGGCCAGAACCACCAGAACGCCCCTGGGGATCAGTGACCTAGGTACAGTGGAGATGACAATTCCCGCAACCGTCTGCCTTTGGCTGCAGGAACCCTGGTGCCTCGACAAAGAAGCGGCGACACAGTACGCACACCCACAGTAGCAATAACAAGAACAGCACCAGCAGCAGCAGTAGCAGCAGTGGCACTGTTCTCAGATAGTTTAACAGCTCACTTCTGTTCTTGTGAGACTCAAGCGGGGAGAGCGGGGAGGGAAACGTGGCTGCTGCGGCCGACAATTGGGAGCTTCCTGTGCTCCGTGTACACTCCAGTATCTGACAGCTGACAATCATATTGTGCCTCTGTGTGTGTGCTGAGGATACCACCACGTTTTTAGGTGTATGTTTGATGCGCATTTGCGACACCCTCAGGTAGACATAAATGCATAAATATATTCTTTACATACATTTATGCATCTGTATCTACGTTTGTGTTGTTGCAACTGTCCTGCATAGGCGCATTACAAGCCCTTTGGCTTCTTTACTATTGCGAGAGACGCACAGCAACAAATATGCAGAGGCAGAAGCTGCCGCTCTCTCGCGGCCCCTGCTGCCACTGCTTGGCCCCCTTCCGCCATTCGCCGAGTCTGAGGCTGCTGCTGCATGCAGCAGCAGCCTCCCTTGTGAGCCCGATAAAGCGCATGCAGCCCATGTGGAGAAGCTCTTGGCTGCCTTCGACCTGCCAGTGTTGAGAGACCCCTGCGCTTTGTCCGTCAACGACATTCCTTCCCCGACCTTCTTCCCATCTTCCGCCGCGGACGCACTCTCTGCATCAGCAACAACTATGGAAGGCCTTCAACAGCAGCAGCAGGTGAACCAGTGGAATACAGATTTGGCCCAGTGCGGTATTACGCAAAAGGCTGTGTGTAAAGATGAAGACGTTGCAGGCTTCGCCTCGTTGAGGTGCCAAAAGGAGAACAGGCAGCAGCAGGAGCAGCAGCAGCCGCCTTTGCTTTGGGGTCCCAACGGTTTGATAGACGGCAGTTGGTTCTTAGGAGGAGCGTTCGGGGCTGCATCCATTCCCGATATCAGCGGCCTAATGCGCTCAAAACAGAAACAAGTGGAAGAAGAGCAGCAGCCATCAGAGGACCTCTTGCCTTTGCCCCTCAAGTTTCTGCAGTGGCAGGTGTCTACTCAGATGAACAGCGACGACGAGCTAGTGCTACCGCAGGATGCAACAGGAGGAGGAGGGGCAACCTCAGGAGCAGCAACAGCCGTTGCAGCGGAAGCTGCTTTTGAGAACAACCTGACAGGGGGGGTGCCAGCAGCTGCTGTTCCTTCTTCTCGAGCAGTACAAAGCAAGTGGGGGTATCTGCTCTCGGGAGGCTTTGATCGGCAGACTGGTCTGCCGCTCATAGTCAAACGGCTGCCTGAAAATGATATGGCCAGTGCTGGAGCGAGGACCGCAAGACAGGGAGCCTGGTGTCAATGGCATCTTAGAGGTCGGTCAACCACAACAACGCAAACAAGCCATCCAGAAACAGTAACTGTCTCCCATCCCCTGCGTACCCATTATTATTATATTATGCTTACCACTTGGATGTACCATCTTCTGTTTGTTTGCTAGTACACGAATTTTCTCCTTGTTTCGAAGGTCTTGGGGCCATGGTTTTTGTTGGTGAGTCTTCGTGCTTTCGACTGTTTTCCTTTTTGGGTTTGTCATGTTTTCTTTGTAGATGCGGCTGCAGCTAGACAGGCAGCGAAGGCAAGCCGATTCCGGTTTTTGTGTTATTTGCATTTTCTAAATCGTCTCTCTCCTGAACTGTACTTGGGAGTTGACGGCCGCCGTTTCATTCGAACATTGGTTCGGCGTGGAGCCTCGTACCCTCCATTTTATGTCTACAACGAAGTAAGTGCTGGTTCCTCTCATTGTATCGCCAGCTTTGCAGCGCTGTTCAAAAACTGCAGCCTTATATGCACTGTGCGTGTAAACAGTATATAGAAATATATATGCAACAGCGCGAATAGATATATGGTGTGTAAATATGTATATGTATTGTATCCATGTATAGATGCATATATATACATATACATATAAATAAATATGTGCATCCATACAGAAAATGTGCGTTTACGCATGTATTATATGTCCCTGTTGGGTGGCAGAATGCAGGAGGGTTTAGAACTGTTTAGCACAGGCGAGGGTTTCGACTTGTCCGTTTGGACAGGAGCAGCGCATGCGTTTGTCTTTGGGGCCTTCTTTTTTGGATGTTTGTTGTAGATCCGGTCGACGGAAGACTACTTTAGCAGAACTTCCTTTAGCGATTTCCTCTTTCCATCCCCTTCGCAAGTTTGCAGGCGCTTTAAACCCCTCCTCGGTATTCTCACTTGCGTCTGTTCGCCGCGCGTGCATGCACAGCCCCACCGCGTATAGTAGGTTCTCTTTTCGACCCGCAATTTCTGTTGTGCTGCGTATTCTTGAATATCTAGTTCGCTTTGCCTCTGTGCAGCTCTGCTTGTTGTGTAGAAGCTGGGGATCTCAATGCCGTCACCTACTTTTGTTTTTCATGGCTGCTGTGGTGGATGTGCAGCTTGAGGGGCCCTGGCGGCCAGACAGCTCGCGCTTCTTCATTGCGTGCACTTGAAGGAGCAGCTTTGACTTTGTTGGAAGGGTACAGACTACGCGAGCCGCTACTGCGCCGCGAGCACCCTCCCACTTATGGGTTGCGGTGGGGGGGGCCCCAAGGGGCCCCCGACGGGCCTTTATTAACACCAGGGGACTTCCGTGCGGCATATACTGCGCTTCTGCAGAAGGGAGCAGCAGATGAAGAAAAAGGAAGGGTTGTGGGCAGACATCTGATGCATATGCCTGCTTGCTACGGAGTAGCAGGATCCCGCCCGGCTTTTTGTCCTGAAAACGATTACTGCAATGACCTCTTGGGGGGGCACTCGGCCCCCCAGAGTTTTATATTGAACTCTCGTGAAGAACCGGAGGGTATTGTGAGGGAAACGCTTTCTCGCATGCAGTGTCTCTTCCCCCCGAAGCAGCTGATTCAGGCTGATTGTGGAAAGCTGATTGCAATGGTATGTTTTGCTCTCTCTCGAGCTACACAGCCCCGCTCTGCAGCTCGCCAGCTTCAACCAGTCCCTACGTGTTGAACCCTTCGTTCGGTAGACAACCACAGAGGGGGCCAACTCTGTCGAAGCAGACAGCGGTAATGCTGGTCCAATTGCTGATGGTGTCTGCATCCAGGCCGAGCTGCTGCACAAACTCCGCGCTGAAGGCCACCGCTGCATCATCTTCACGCAGTTCAGCCGCATGTTGGACGTCTTGGAGTCTTGGATTAACTACCAAGGGTTTGTTTACCTTCGTCTGGATGGATCGACAAGGGTAAAAAGCAATTTAAAAAGGAGCCACCACTGGGGAAACAAAAACGAAAGTCGAGACCTGCACCAGTGACATGTGACAGGGTGTTCATTTGCCGGAGTTCTTTGCTTCTGTTGATTTCACGCATGCATGCATGCATAGAATGTATGCACAAATGCGTGCATGCATAGACGCATGCGTTTATGATGTGCGGAAATGCAAGGTTGCAGTTTGCAGTTGCTCCTGTTTTCAGGTCGATAACCGTCAGCGTTTGGTGAATCAGTTTAACACGAACCCCCGCATTTTTCTCTTCATAGCCTCAACTCGAGCCGGAGGGGTCGGCATTAACCTCACAGGCGCAGACACCGTCATCTTCTACGACACTGACTGGAACCCGGCAATGGACAGACAAGCTATGGATCGGTGAGGCTCCAAAACACGATGCCGTCAAGCTAGCTTACCCACTAGCTAGCTACGTATCTAGCTTGCTAACTCACCCGCTGGATGTCTGATTCCAATTCTAGGGAGCTCACTATCCAGTTACACTACTGGCTGGCTAGCCCACGGTCGAGTTAGCTGGTTAGATACCCCATTGCCTAGCTAGCCCACCCACCAGCTACCCAAGTCTCTGTCTGGCTAACAAGCTGCCTATAAGCTCCTACCTAACCCACGACTCCAGAGTGGGATCTAGTTTGCTTAGAGCTCTCGGCTGCAGAAAAGCGGCATGTCTAACAGGAGGCATTTCTTCAGATGATGCGTATTCTGCTGAGCACTCCTGTGTTGAGGGGAAAATCGTTTATGAGTTTTTTTTACTGCAGGTGCCACCGCATTGGGCAGACGCGCGATGTGCACATCTACCGTTTGGTATGTGCACACACAATAGAGGAGAATATTTGGAGGAAGCAGCTGCAGAAGCGTCTGTTGGATGAAATCGTTGTAGATCAGGGTTCGTTTACAGCGACGAATGCTGCAAGAAAGCTCGGCAGACTCGAGGTGGAGGGGCAGAAGGGGTCTGACCTACAGGAGACCGAGTGGTACTCGAACGCGAACATGGTGAAAGAACTCCTCACGGTAAGCAGCAGATACTGCTGTTGTGTCGTTGCTGCATTAACACCGACCGGAGCAGGTCCGGATGTTGTTTCCATCATCAGCAGCAAGAGAAGCGGCTTGCCTCAGTGATGCTGCAAGGGCTCACGCCTTAACACTGTACATTCGTTCTTTTGGGAAATGCCTTCTTATATTAGCTCAGCGAGTGGCATTATGCAGCTGGCAGTAAATGGCTTGTTGCAACAAGAAATACAGTAAATAGATGTTATATATGTAATATTGTTATGATGATGATTAGGTGAAGCAAGAACAAACAGATGACTTGTACGTAGACCGCGTCCTTCATGAATCTTCAGCAGACACCGCACCACTGCCACTGGCGCCGCTGAGAGGAGGGAAGAGTTCTGTTTTCGAGTCGGTTATGGATGAAGTGGAAGACGTTGAAGACAGAGTTGCCCTCAGACAAACGGCTACAGAACAGAAAATGGTGCAACAAGAAATGAGCGATGTACGCCCTCACAACATCACGTCTCTCTCTCTCACTCTCTTATATATATATATATATATATATATATATATATATATATAAACTACTGGCAGTATGATAATGTGTGCAAACATGTGTTCGTGGATATATTTCCACTCCCTGTGGCTGCAGGACTTCCGGGATGAGAATCAGGACCCCGCAGATGAAGTGGCTGCTTCTCTGAACAACTTGCCGGCGCTGGCGACATACTGCATTAAATTTTTGACCGACAATAAGAGCAATTCTCTTATTGTCCAGATTGAGCGGTTCAAGGTAAGGAAGGCTCATGCTGAAGCTGCATTTGCAGCGAGGTCTTCGCTGCTGCTGCTGGCATCCCCCATGTTTTATCGACCTTTCTATGGGCCACTGTTGAGACAAAGGCCACATTGCACATCCGACACAGAATGCAGTGCACCCGTGCGGGAGAACGACCGACTCTCTGGAATCTGCATCGAAAGAGGGTTAAGGAATAGATACATGCTGCTCTTCTGCTGTTCCTCATGTGTGCAGGCGCAGCTGGAGAGCGAACGAGCAGCAGCTGCAGGAGAGGGTGAAGGGGCAGACGGAAGCGCATCTGCTGCTGACGCAGATTCAGACGGCAGTGATACAGATGACGAGGAAGGAGATACAACCAGCGAGATGTCAGCAGCGTGGGAGAGTGAACTAGAGGAGGAGGAAGAAGCCGAGGCCGGAGACACAAAATGAAGCATCTGCTGAACTGCATTTAACTGAAACGTACAGCAGAATATGCTCCGCATCACAGCACTGTGCTGTAAAGCAACACAAATGGTCACAGAAATGCAAACAAACGAAGAGCATCTCGAAACCCCAGAAAAGCGAGAAGGGGGGGACACTGCAGCTCGTGCACAGCTCTTTGTCGCATATGTATATTGTATGCATGTGCATGCGCATCAATGTATAAATTTCAGACATACGTGTGTACACATGTTTATAAACACGTAAACATATAGGATATAATTAATTTAGCTAGCTGTGAGATGTCTTGGGGATGTTTTTGGTGTTGCATGTTCTGTCCTCCCGCCATCTTGTGTGGGTTTGAGGGATATCTTGCGGATGCCGATTTGCTGCATTGATGATGACAGTGCAGCTATAGAGCGCGGTGATTTGGTCGCGCTTCCTTTTGAATCACCTTCTTCTATGATGAGGTGTTGCATTTAGTTTCCCTTGTATTTGTTTAGTTTCATGTAGCTGCTTTCTGCAAGGACCTCGTATTTAGGATTGTGCAGCTATAAAGGGCTTTGGTGGCTGTCGGGGGTTCAGCACTGTCGTAGCTTCAACAGACTGTAAACCGTCATTATACCGTTAACATTTACGCTAGTACTTTTGTATTTAACCCTCACATAACTGCAGCCTATGAGGGCTAGCCTGCTCTGTACTCGGTTGCTTCGTAAGAGAGGCATAGTGCAAAGTATACAAAATAACGAGCTGCAGAACTTCAACTGCACGTGAAACAGACATCTTGTCAGTGCTTCTCTCTCCTGAGCAGTAGCTGCTGTAGCCTGAGCCAGTCTTCTATTTCTTGGCAGTTTTCGTTTTGCTGTAAGCTGTCATTGTTTGTTGCTCCATATGATATTGCTCATTGATATTATTGTTTATCTATTGCAAAACTGTCGTTATCCCTTCACCTCGCCTCTCCTTCAGCTGCGGGGCCAAGGCAGCAGGTGTGTAGGAAACACTCTTCTCTTGAAGAGCCGCACAGAGCGGAAAAAAAGCAACAGATGTTGCTTCAGTTGTTCACAATACAAGTAGGGCTAGCAACAATTATTAAAAAAGTATACATCAACATATATATGTATATAGGCATATATAAATAACATGTGTATGCAAGCACATACATACATATTCAGATACGGCAAGTAATAGCAAGTATTCCGCCCTACAGCTGAGGAGAGCATGCTTTGCACGCTTCTACTTCCTCTTCTCGTTTGTTTTTTGGTTCTTCTCACGTGCTATCTGCTCAATAGAAGCAGTAGCAGCATCCTGGTGAACTCCTTGATGGGCGAGCGTCTTGCAGTGATGGCGGCGTGCGCCAGGCTGTGCAGAGAAAGAGCGAGCTCTCGCCCCGTGGCTGCCTTCGCCTACTGCCCTCAGCCTGCGGCCTGCTCTGTGGTGACACCGTTCAAGAGGAGGCGATACAGAAAGCGATCGTGTTCTAGAGGAAGAGTGTGATGGTGATCTCCCTGGAACAGGAGATGGAGGCTCCAGAAGTTGACGACCATCTGATCCGCGCACGCAACCATCACAGGGATACTGCTGCTGCCTGCAGCGGCTCCTTGAAGGCAGCTCTCCCTCAACTGAGAAAGGCACCTTACCATTAACAGATGCAGTAGGAAATGCGGTGTATCGGCGATCGCTCTCCATTACAGCTGCGTATCGTGCAGGGAGGCCAGCGCACGGGTTGCTCAGCTTAGAAGTGAGAAGGTGACTGTTTTCAATGGGATTCCTCATGATGAACCGCTTGGAAGTCCCCTTGTAAGGCAGTACACAAAACGAGGTTTTCCAAGACCTGAACAACTCGGGTTATTGTAAAGTGAGGAAAAGGTGATTCCACCTGTTGAAATGCGGAGAAAAGGAAAATAAAACATCCAACTCATAATTGTGCAACGAAGATTGCATGCAAGCACGTCAATGGTTCGCCTCCTGCTTCGATACTAATTTTGTGAAAAAGAGGATCGCGCCTTCGTCAGAGGTTCCTGCCAACTGCATGGCTTTAGTCATGAAAGCTGAAATAGCATCGTTGAGTTATTATACAAACACCAGGTACTAAATAAGGCCAAGATTACAGGGGTTCTCCGTTAGCAATGTCACTCGAAGCCTCTGGTTTAAGTTGCCATCACCTGCCCGACACAGGAGGAGAGCACACATGTGCAGCCAAATTAACGAGATGGAGAGTAACTGTCCAGCATTTAAAGTATACCTTCATGAAGGTTCTCAGGAAAGAACTATATTTAAGGATCAACTAGGGGCGGATGGAACATGCCACCCAGCGGACTGGTCCACCTAGAGTCGGCAGAAACCTCAGCTTGACCGCATGCGATCTCAATGGCGAAAGCAGGAAAGAAAGCAAGCAATAAATCGGATATCTCTGCTTACTTCCGGAAGTATTTCTCCTTAATTCCCCTCTTTAACTGCAAGAATACCTCTTTGATTCGGTATACACGTGAAAGGCTGTGCTGCTCATTACAGCTCCCCCTCCTCAAACGAGGCCAACAGTGGAGAACAATGCTGAAGCAAACGTTGCGGTCACTAGGCAGCAAAGGAATTGTGTGTTGTTAACGAGCGTTAATTATATATCAAGTGCATCTATTTATGAACGAAACCTCACTGGTGTCTGATTTTTGCATATTCGGTTGTGTTTCCGCTACCCGATGGTTCAGTAATTAGTGCAGAACAGTTTACCTATGGTTTGTGAGTGAACAAACACTGAATTGAGGGGATAATAAGTCAGGTTATGGTGGCTCAGTAAAGGATTTCAACACAGCTGCCCTCGTTGTTGCACCGTCATAGTTTATTTCTAGCTGCCTGTGGTGCTTTGGTTGTCGGTATACGTGACAATGAACGCAAGTAGAACTCCTCAGGCTTGCTAAATGCAGCTATTCTTTATATAGTTCTTCGTAGTATCTTGTTGGTACGTGGACGCATTTTGTAACACCTTAATTCAGTGCCCAATCCTGCTGCCCCATCGTTCCTGGGTTCCCGGCTGCGGCAGTTCCCCGCAGAATACTTGAGGTATGGGACTTCAATTTTGATTAAAAAACGATGACAACAGAAAATAACATATTGCAGTGTTGCACTTGCAGATTGAATATAGTTTACTGGATACAGTAAGGATGTTTGTGAAAGTCAATTTGAATATTAAGTTTATTACTTTAGTTGTAATCATTTCAGATAACTTACTTGTTTAGCGACAGCGGTACAGGATGATGCTGCAATATTTAAACTGAAAATGCTTTGCTAACAGTACTAAGTACCACCTGCGTCTGCGCCGGTGCAACAGTAAACTCCCCTAATCCGTACGAGGGTTTACGATTTGGGGTTTAGGGTTTATGGTTTAGTGTTTGCTGTTTAGCGGGCCTAGCAAGACGGTCTTATGGAAGAATTACGATATGCTAAACCCTAAATACAAACGGTTCAAAGGGATTCAACAAGCACACTAAGCGTGCTATGGAGGTGGTGCCCCTGTACCATTCCAGTGTCTTTCGTCTGCTGCTGTTTCTGTTTCTAGTAACTGGTCTTTCCCTCAGTCTCTTCTTTACTTTCACTCGCTTTTTTCGTTTCTGTCGCTGTCTCCGTCTTTCACCGTCTTTTGCTGTTTCTGTCTCTGCCTTGCCTCTGCATCTTCCTCTCCCTCGTTTTCTGTCAGCTTGTTTGACAAATTCATCAGTTGCAGAAACAGACGAAAAGGTACTTTCTATACATGAGAATTAATTTCGCCTATTTCTGTGAATTACCACCACAGGGAGTTCCATTTCGTTGATGTTCAGCATCTTACATTATCACTTGCCAGTGAGGAAGCAGTGGCAGCAAACTGCATCCTTCTTCTCCTCTTTATTAGTTATCATACAAAATTTACAATGATTGCAACTTGATACAAGAGCTGCTCTACTTTATGTTAGCTTCAACAACGTTCGTTCCCTCTCTTTCTCTATTTACGTTTCATTTACGGGGACCAGAACGGAGCACCATTCAACACGCATTGACTACAAGACCAGAATGCCTGTGTCAAGGGTTTCTCGTTAGCAAATAAAGTAACTAAGTGTCTATGGTCCTTGACAAGAACCTTCTATGCACACACCCCGCTCGTACGGGGAGTAGTATCTCTTCACTACGTGTTCGCGTAAAGTTATTTTTCAGCATTCCCATGAACATAAATTGGACACATCCATAATCAGATCATTATTCTAGTCCTAATGGCTCATTTCAGGTGTCGTGGCATTCCTGCTTTGGCGTTGTCTCCGACGGAGGCACGCATTCAGAAACTCGAGAGCAAGAAAACATGAATTTTCTCTCCTTGCAACTGGCGACCCACTCCCCTGTAGACATTTCAGTATTCAATTTTGCTATAAGATGAATTCTCCAACTGTTCATGATCGTTAATTTATAGTAATACTCCTTCAAAGAGGGGGAGTTGTTCCTCTAGTGTTATAGGCAATCTTTATATGAACCGATTCACACAAGGTTGTCACCCCCACGATGCATGTTTAATAAATGTTTTGTGTTTAAATATATATAATATTCAACATGAAAGCAGCAAAACGTCATATGGTTCGGTGTTATTGTTTAAATGATTCACATCCAGGTGCTCTAATCTACGAGAGAGCCAGCAATCGGTGTATCGCCGATGCCGTACTCTGTCTGATTCAGCGTAAGCGTACGCTTTTAAGCGCAGAACACACCAAAAACATTTCTAAAATTTAAAAATAAGTGAATGAATGAGGATTAATTTGAATAAAGAGGAAAGAAGTCTGAAGATCCTCATGTATGCGAGCAACACTTAGTGTCGAGGTTCTTCTGCTCGGCCGCATTCCAAGGGTTCGTCAGATATAGATAGGTAAGGCAAAATGCTGACAAGAAGGCAGGAGGATTTTTCATTGATCCTTTTAATCTCTATATATATTCAAATTGAACAACAACAAGTTTATTTGCATTTCATTATAATAGTCTCTTGGATTCTCTTGATCTACGATACACCTGGTGACGCAACAAGAACACAGCGAGACCGCTGCCGACTTCTGCTGCACAGGTGTATTCGCAGCATCGACTAGAGCTGCATAACTGCAGCATTCCCGACATTATTATTCCCTTTTATCCAAAATATTTAAGTTGTCAATTTAATTAATTGCATTTGCCTTCTAAATTTGCCTTTAAGCGCCCTCTCTAGTGGTCGGTTTCCTGCAGATAGCCGCTTGGCGCGTGGATACTCAGCGTTCCGCATTTTTCTTGTATTTCATCTTTCGTGAGGAATTCAATTCAGATATTCCTTTTTCCGTTATTTCTTCGATTTCCGTCATAATGCGATCTGAATCAGATTGTTCTGTCGTGCCCATTGGGCGCGTTTCTATGGACAATGCCTTTAATGGCCATCCTCGTAGGCGTATACAACAAACAGGAACAAAGTTGAATACAGGGGAACAAAGAAAGAAACCTTCTCTTAAAGACTTTCTTGGAGTTACTCCCCTCGACCTATTCAAGAAAGCAATCAACCCTGATGAAGCGCCTGCACCCGTAAAGCTTTTGCAGAAACTTATCGGGGGTTCCTCGGCTGGTGAACAGGAGCAGCAGCAGCAGCAGAACAGCAATGACAGCAGCAGCAATGGCGTGCAACCATATGTTGATGCTCAAGCATACAAGGGAGCTGAACAGACTCAGAGAGAACAACAGGAGGAGGGTACGGTGTTGCTGCAAGACGCGATTGAAAGGCAGCAGCAGCAGGAACAGCCGCAGCAACAGCAGCAAGTGCCACAGATGGACACAAGGACTAACCTAGAGAAATATCTAGGTATGAAGATGAGAGAGTCAAGAGGGCACATGCAGTTCCCTCCCATGGGTTGTCCTCCGGCCTCTCTGATGCACATGCAGCAGCAGCAACTGCAGCAGCTGCACATGCAGCAGCAACAGCAGCAACAGCAGAACTTCGGCTGCAGCCCTGATGGATTAATGCAGCAGCAAGCCCCTTACTACCCCCCAAACTTTATGCCTGATCATTATATGCAAACTCAAGGATTTATGCAGCAGCCCAACCCATACACCCCACAGTACCCTGCACCTGCAGCAGCAGCAGCAGCAGCAGCAGGACCTATGTACCAACCCCAAGGAATGTCCCCATCATATCCGCAGCAGATGTATCCTTCCTATGAGCAGCAGCAGCAGCAGCAAGGATTCCCATCTCCTTATCCCAATCAGCTATCAGCAGCAGCTGCTGCTGCATGCGCAGCTGGTTCTACTTCTCTCCCTCCCCATCCCACCGCTGCTGCTGCTGCTGCTGGTGCTGCACCTGCTGCTGCTGCTGCTGCTAATGAAGGACCTATAACTCCTCCTGAATGGATGACGGGGCTGCATGTAGATGGATCAGCAGAATGGCTGCAGCAGAAGAGTTATATGCCCCAAGTACCGCAGTACATGCATGCAACAGCCCCAATTCCTGCTGCAGCATTTAATGCAGGATTTAATTATGCAACTGAATTTAAATATTATTATAATTATTATCCTGCTGATGAATATGCTAAGGAGGTACAAGGAGGAGGAGGAGGAGCAGCAGAAGCAGGAGGAGCAGGAGGTGCTGATATACTACAACAGCAGGAAGAAGCTGATGCTGCTGCGAATGCTGCTGCTGCTAATGCTGCTGCTGCTGCTGCTGCTGCCGCTGCTGCTGCTAATGATGCTGAGGGAGAAGAAGGAGGAGAAAAAGAAGAAAATAATAAATGCCAACTTAAGCCACTTATTACATCCAAGACAAGACTTGAATCAGGAAAAGCTGTACCCCTATAGACAAATAAATAAATAAATAAATAAATAAATATATTTATTTATATTTATATATATTTACTCATTTAGTACGTATATGTATATGCATGTATTTATATGCAGCAGGGATAATGGGGTTTAGTGTTTAGGGTTTAGGGTTTGGGTGTTGTAACTTAAACCCTAAATAAACCCTAAACCCTTATAATATACAGTATACATATTATATATATAATAAATATTATATATATTATATATAATATAAATAATATATAATATATACATTTATATTATGTATATTGTATATTATTTATATATGCATATGCAATACTAATGCATGCATGCACACAGGATAAAAAGGAAGCCTTTTTGCTCTCTTTTGTTGTTTATTTTTAGCCTTTTTATTTCTTCCTTTTCTTCCTTATTTATACACAACTATATATTTAGTAAATAAATAAATAAATTAAATTAAATAAATAAATAAATAAATAAATAAATAAAGGGTACTATTGCCTCTATCTATTTATTCATCATTTGTTGTATTTAATTCCCTCCTTTTGTTTCTTTATAAAGACATACTCTTATTTATTATTAATAAATAAGGGATTATTTAGCTATTTTATTGTTACTCCCTCTGCCTCTCCCTCTCTCCCTCTTTCCCTCTCTCCCTCCCTCTCTCCTCTTAGCCTCTATATTATTATAATAAATAGTACTATACTGTAATAAAGGAATAATTAGCCTAAGGAAAAAGAGGAAGAAAACAACAATAGATTCTATTTTCTTCTTTATTAAGGGAATAATTACTAATAAAATAGTCCCTTATTTATATACTATATATTATCTATATTAATATATACTATACCTATATATATATATATATA